AAGGTGGTTTAAGTAGTTGTTTTCATTTTATTTCTATTGGTCTTCATCCATTGCATTGGGTTGGGTATTTGGCCTAGTGGAACCTCTTCTGACTTCATGTCAGACACTGATAGGTTGGTTGATAATGGATTTCTTTCCAATGATCAGATGCAGTCTCAGAACATTTCTCAACGTGGCCTTCTAGGAAGGTCCTGCCAGCAATTGGAGGGACCAAAAAGATAAATGCACATGTGCCATTCCCAAGCAAGTCCCTCATTTCACAGCAGAGAAACCTGAAGCCTGGAGAAGCATAATGACTTGTCCAAGGTGAAGCACAGTCTGCAGGGGCAAGAACCAGAACTTGGGTTTTTCTACTCTTTGGTTGGTATTTATCTTTCCTTCATGCTTAACTGGTATTTATTTTTCTATCACACATATCACTTGGTTAGCTTAGTTTCTAATTAGAATGGCATCTGCCATAAATTACATTGATGAAACTTTAGATCACTTAAAATAGTATTTATTTATGGGTATGTATGTATATATATTGCCAAAAGTTCATAAATAACAAAGGTAAAACAGGTGAGTCACTGAAGCAGTAATTAGTAAAATTTATTGTGCACACACCAAAAGACAGTTCAAGACCTGGGAGCACTCAAACCAAACCACAGAATGAAGTTCAAGGGTATATTGTTTACAACAATTTATATAGCAGAAAGGCAGTGACTGTTCATTCTTTACAGTGACTGGTCGTAATACCAGAATTTTCTTAAATGATAGGGAATTGGTTAGTGGTTACTTCATATCAATTTTGGGAAATTGTTTTGCTTATGATTTGCAGAGGCATAAGCAAGAAATGAGCCAGGTCAAGTCAGTCTTGCATAGTAAACTAAATCAAACTTTGCTTGTATGACTGAAGTGGTTTGTCTGCTCAGGGAATTTTCAAGGCTGGTGGTCTCCATTTTTTTTTTAACAGTATTGTGTATATGTATTACATTACATATTACAATATATATTACATATACAAGACTTATAGCTGCAAGTAATTAAAAACAAAAGGAAGCAAGATACAATCCTTCATCCACGAGGTGCCCTACAACATGATAGTGAAATACATAAGCCTTGCATGCTCTGTAGCAGTACTGATGGCACCATCTATCTGGCTTAACCAAGTAATTGTGACATAATCTGGTACTCAGGTTGCAAATGAAAAAGCTCCACCAAGCTCATCAGCTGCAGACTGAGTATTATACTTAGAGCTTTATGCCTGTAAGCATACATTTTTTGCTGGCTTTTAAATGATAAATGATGAAATGATTGAAGACATTATTACATGGAACAAAATCCAGGGGGGAGTGTGATGTTGACTATTTAGCACTTTAAGCTGTTACAGGAGTGTTAAGTACATTTACTGAAGAACTGTAGGAAAGTGGTGATTGTATGTTTGTGTCTAGAGAAACAGTGGAGTCCTGACCACACCATAAGACATGTTCAAGTGAAAATAGACATGTTCAAGGGAGCTTGGCAAGTGGGAGAGAGTAAGTGGAGTGTCCAGGCTCTAAGCTTGCTTTCAGTGACTTAATTAGCATTTACTGAAACCTTGGTGAAGTGGTTCTCAGTCTTGCTGAATATTAGAATCAGGGTGGAGTTTTTAAAACTATCCCACTGGAGCACTACCCCCCACCTCCCTAACCCCAAGAGATTTTGATTTAATATTTCTGGGTGGGGCCAGGTATTGGTGGTGTCTGCAGCTTCCAGGTGATTCTAATGTGTACGCACAGATGAGAAGCAAGGTTAGGTACTTGTAGGAACAGAAGAGAAGGAGCACAGGTAGGAGAACACCAGGACGGTCAGTAATTTCTCAAAACCTTCACCTACTCATTCAGAGTTTAAAAATTCTCCTCATAGGTGCATCACCTAATACAAACTCTTATGACAAATCTGGAATATGACTCTATGTCTCCTAATGTGGAATTGTAAAAAGGACCTAATTTATTTATCAATCCATTAATTCAATGAGCTTCTACAAAATACATGGGGCAGAAAAACATGGTCTCTGCTCTCCAGAAGCAACACCCACATAACTCTGTGGGAACCGACAAAGGAGAGGCACCAAATATGCCTGTGAGGGCAGTGGACTTTCTTTTTCCTCCTCCTTTGGAGCCAGGTACTTTCTCTGGTTCAGGGACATGTAACTTTGGGCTGGGAGGATGGTATTGCCTTTGCATAATTGGGCGCAAAAGATAAGTTACCAGGGACAGCTGATTTTTGGATACTTTGCCTGTTGGCCAGGTCAGAATATGACCCCTTCCCTTTTTTTGGTTCTACTCGGAACCATCCCTCCTCACTCTTGAATCCCTCATGTTCCTCAGTCCCTCATGTGGGGAAAATTGAGGTTGCAGAGAATGACAGTAAACCCTTCCTGGAACTGCTTGTAAGAGTAGGCAGGGTGAGGGCCATGAAGAGGTTAAAAGGCCTGAGGGTCTGTGCGGGAGCTGGGGAGGAGTGCAGGAGTAAGGTGGCTACTGAAATGCAAGCTTAACTCCCCAGGGGTCCTCCTCCTATAAACCCACCCGTGAATGCACTAGATTTTCTCACCTAACCCTAGGTAAAATTCTGATTGATTGTTCTTTGGGATTTTTGTGTATTTGTTTGCATGTTTGTTTTTATTTATGGACCATATTACCTTTCTCCCACAGTAACTTGTTAGTTCTAAGGTTACAAAAGCCATGGAATTTCAAAGGTCAGGTTCCTATCAATAACCAGAGAAAGCTTTAGGAAGCTGAAATGCTGACAGTCATTAGAATTTCATAGACTGTAAAGTTTTTAAATTGGAAGAATCTCTAGAGAGACTTCACTCCCTAATTTTCTAATGAAATTATTGAGCCTTGAGAAGTAGTGATGTGTGGGATGAGGTGAGGCAGAGGGAAACTCAGAAACCAGGCCATGCAGAGGGGGGACATGAGACCCATTGCAGGATGGAAAAAAGATGAGTTGCTTGGCTATTCAGAAGATTTATTTTAACCTTGGGCAAAGATTAATTATTTTAGCAAAACAGAAACAAATATTAATATGAACAAAATGTAAAAACATTTAGATATGGCTTACATTAGGGAAAAATATATGAGATCAGGGAAGTTCTTTGGGGGATAAGGACAAAGGAGAAGCATTGCAATTTACCTTCTCAGTACAAACTTAGAAAACAAAAGGTAGTGCTTCTTCTTTCCCTCTTTTCCTCTCTTCCTTACCCTCCCCCGATCATTTTCTCTCCCCTTCCTCCCTGTCCCTTTCTCTAGTCTCATCACTGAGTGGGAATCCAAGCCAACTGATGTGGGGTTCATGTACCTCCCATGTAGTTTCTACTGTGCTTTCTTTATCACATATCTATCCATCTCTCCATTTACCTATCTACCCATCAATATATGGATATTTTAATATTTTAGTATACTTGTTGAATGAGTGAATAAGTGAGTGAATATTATTCCTTTGGTTGAAGGCTGGAAGTGTCCATTCTAAGATTGGCCTAATATAAATACTGGACTTCCTTGTTTCTCTGTGGACATAGTGTATAAGGAACTATGTAATGTTCCCTAGGATGTGTATCTGCTAAGTTCTGTACCAGGCATGGGCTAGTTACTGGGGATTCAGAAATAAGAACACATTTCCTGCCTTCCAGGGGTACATGCTCTACTCTTGATAGGAGCTAAATATGTTAGTGTGGAAGAAGAAAGAAGTAGAAAATGTGGATTAAAGATTTTTTTGTGTGTGTGTACACTACTTACTAATAAAGACTGACCAATGTTATTCTGATGTTAAAATTGCCTGTTTTCTGGGTATTTTGTATTTTTTGTTACATAAATAGATAAAAGCAATTGTTGACTCAGCCAATACCTATGAAGGAATATTTTATGTTAACTAGTTTAGTGAGTGACAAATGGATGCCCATTTGAACCATGAAATTTTTGGCTCTTCATTTTTTAAAAGTTCTCTACACACCATTGAAATAACAAATAATAGAAGCAAAGGAAAAGCATATAAAAAGTGCTTCTAATCTAGGCTAACTATCATCAAGGTAAAGAGCATCTCTGTCTTGTCTAGAAAATTGATAGATCAAGCAGGACAGGTAGAGCTTTCTTCCCTTCTGTATACAGTCAGGTTTTTTTTTTCTAAACTGTGGTTATATTTTTTGGACCCTGTGTTTATTATTTTGATTGCTTAGAGGAAATGCACACCTTCAAAGTGATAGCCTGGGGCAGTGCTTTGCAATATCCTTTATTAAGCTTTACTGTGTCTGTTCACATGTATTTTAATTCTTAATTTTAGGAGGATTTTAAGAAGTTCAAAGCAGTATCTTTGTGATTGAATTCCAATAGTACATAGCAGGGGTCCATATAAGGGTGTTGAATCATTGTAAACTGGGAATGCATCCAAGTTCATGCTTAACTGAGAAGCCTCTGTTAAATATTTAGAAGTGAAAGCGATCTTTCAAAATAGGCATAAGGGCCTGGACAGCATAGAAATTGGTGAGCATAGCACCTAGATAAGAGCAAAGGTGGAAGCTGACACCTGGGCTTATTATTCTTCTGATCTTGGCTGTTTCTTCATACTCTTACTCCTTTTATTTGACAGGGTTCTGCTTTTTAACATGTTGGTGACCCCCATCCCATCAACTTTCATTTGGTCTCAGTGTCATCCCATGGGCTTCCGTGTAGCAAATACTTATGATCCATCATAGTCCTGACAATTCCTTGCTTTGCCACTAGTAGCTAAACAAGAAATGTACCTTATTCTAAGTTCCATGTTCTTTTACCTTACTCTGAGACCCAAATAACTACTCCAACATGTACAATATGCCCATCGTGGCTAAGACCCTTGATAAGTATTAGCTTTACCCTACTGTTTAAAATCAGTTGCCACATTGGGTTAGTAAGAAATGATAAGTTTGAGAAGAATATGGATATAAATCTAGATATTTAGTGTAATATGAGGAAAAAGCAAATCAGGAGGTGGATATTTTATTTATAAAATTATACATACTTTAATTTTGCAAAAATCACCAAGTACATGTTCAGATATGATTTATCTTCAAAACAGTTTTTGTTTTTTTTAAAAACATGCAAGTTCATTTGGCATGCCAACCCTCTTTTTCTCTAGCCCATCTTGGAAATTGTTTTTTCCATAATACAAACATGGGTGCAAATATTGTCAAAAAATTATTTACATTTACCCTCCTGAATTAATAACATTAATATTTATTGAGAGGAAAGAAAAGTTGCAAGGTTTGGTCTTTGGCATTCACATTTGATTCAACAGTATAATTAAAAACTTGTATTTGTTTTTAAGATAAATACTTTGAAGGAAATTTAATAAATCTTGGTTTTGCTCTGCAAAGAAGCCGCTATATCAAAGCATTTAACTGGAGCTGTCGAGTTGCTGCTGGTAGAATATTACTTCCAGCCTATTTATTAGGTTTACTTCCTGTGGCCCAATATATGCTCTCTCTCCCATGCCCCCCTTCTGCCTTCCACTGAGTGAAAGCACAGAAAGACAGTAATTCCTTTTCTCTTTCCCTCTCTCTGCAGCATGCAAGGCAAGGCAGCATTACAAGTCACAATATCTGAATTTACTTTGATTATAGTTTATTTCTTACACTTAAAATTGTTTTGTATTTTAATACTTACTTGGTTATCTAAAATCAACATTGTTGATTTTAAACTGCTGTAAAGCCAGACTTTCAGAGGCATTTGAAGCAATTCATGAACCATGTCTGAAAGGAAATAATTGCCTCCGAATTATTCTTTTGCACTTGAAGTAAAAGGATTTTAGGTATCAGCAGTTTACTAGAAAATAAGACTTTGGGGGGCTCATATAATTTATGCACACCTTTTTATATATTGTAAATAAGGATAGGATACTTGTGACAGTAGCCTATAAACAAATTTTAAAAAATATATCCTTTAATATAGAATAGGCATCAAGGGAGCATTTTAAATATGGTTCTGGTAGGTCTCTTATGAGTCTACTTCCCAGAAAAGTTTTATATGAAATTCCCTGATTAAGAAAAAATATCTAAAGTTACAGATTGAAGTTGAGAGAATATGATATATGAGGTAAGGTCACTGTATTACCTATGTATGGTCTGCTATGTAACATGTACAAAAGAACCTAAAGAGACATTTATCTCAAATTTCAGGCAGGATATAAGAATGCATAGAAGAGAGAGCTTTTCAGTTCAGGTAGTCAAAGAAGACACAGCATTCACCTAAATAAGTTGTAAGGAACATATACATAGGTAATGCCAATTCACAGAATGCAAACAAGCTCAATTAGAAATTGTACTGTGATAACCACATATTTTAGAGAAAAATTCCCAAGCCAGACGAATGTGGATTGGGATAAAAACATAGGCGGTGTACACCACCATAGCAAAAATCGTTAGTAAGATGGTATTGAACATGGATTGCTCCCAGGGTTCCAAGACTGCACAGCAGCTAATGATTTGGTATTGATAGTAGAGCCAGGACAAATAGTCCTTCACACGCCTGAAATCCATGGTTGGCTCTGTTAAGCTGCAGAAAGTCTGTCCTGTAGAAGAAGGTAACAGATTAGAAGAAAAAATAAAACAAGGAACCTAACAAAGAATCTCATTAGGATTTTATGATCTCATTCTGTTAAAACCTTTCAAAGAATGTTAACTATCAAGGAATGAATTATTAGTGAGAATATTACATAGACATAATACACAATATATTAATCACAGGAATTATATTGCCATAAACAATAATGATTACTATTATAGTTAATTGCAACAATATTATTAATGACAATATTATGGGAAGGACACAGTGACACCAAACACTGTAGGGCCTAGTTAGGTAAGCTAAGTATTTTGTCTTTATCCTGTGAATGAGTGGGGCTCTGAGGTTTTTAACAAGGGAATGCTGTGGTAGGTTTGAGAGGATGATGTTTTAATAGTAAAATTTATCCAAAAATGATAATTGCTAATAATAATTCTAGTGATAATATGTAAAGATTGAGGCTAGCCACATTTTCTTGAACCATGTATACACAGAGAGATAAATGTGAGTTTTCTTTTTCCTACAGCATATAGTCTAGAAGAAGATTTAAAGAATGGTGTGCAGAAAAGAATTAATATGGCAAGCCTAAGGCTGCTATCTTTAGAAGGGACTGCTTGCAAGTCTGGCTCTTGGCTGGCATCTGGGAACTTGGCTTTTGGAATGGTCTCTCCATTCCTTAAAACTTAAAATGGAAAGTTTTTGTGTTACCAGGTTGCGATTATCTGTAATAATGGCCAGGATAATCCAAATAAGTAGCAGACAAAACAAACAAGTAATTTTACTTTCCTATGAAAGAAATGCCAACCTCCCATCTTTCCTAGAAGCCAGAGTGAGAACTAAGTAATTGGATTTAAATGCCTTGCCCTGGTAGGTTGACATTGGTGAAAAGTTGCCTCCAATGTTCTTTTTCATTCTTAGCTCAGATTACAGAGAAAGAGCAAAGGCCAATAGAGTTGGATCTTGGAAGAATGAGTGACAGAAGGAGTGCTAATTTCACTAAGTGACATTATGCAAGCAACTAAGATTGTTCACTGATAGGCCAAAATGGAGAAAATTGGAGAAGTTATCACTATTTGCGCTTTTAGAATGTCCCACTAGGCAACTGTATATTTCAAACTAATCTTAAAAAAAATCCCATTCATGGTTACCCACACTTGCTTCTTCATTACCTAGACAGAGTTTGGGGCCATGCCTGGCCAGGAGAATGATAGTCCATTCATCAGGTATCAAGTTCTAGGCTGTGCTCAGTGAGAGAATGATGGCTGAGACAGGCACGGACCCTTTTCTTCTGGAAGCTTAGTCCAGTTGGGGAGACAGGTAGCAATCAAATAATATATACAAATATATAATTGTCAAACTACATTATGTCCTAAGGAAAAGAGCAGTTCATAAGAGTCTGTGGGAGACTTGATCCAGTCTGAGCAAGTTTCTGGGAAGATACATTTGAGACAAGATCCAAAGGATAATTTAAGTCAGATAAAATGGGTGGTCAGGTGGGGAGAATGGCTAAGACAGAGGGGTCAGCTTGTGTTTGTACAAAGTGTAAAGATGGGAAGGAGCTTGGTAGGTGGTCAATGTGGGCAGGGAATGGAGCACAGAGGTCTGGGAAGGGAGACTGGGAGTATGAGAAAACGGAAGAGGAGGGGATGGCAGAGTAAGACCAAACACCTAGTTGGGACTAGCTGCGTAGGCTGCTATCCTATGAGTAAAGGTGGCTCCAGAGGTTTTTTATAAGGGAATGCTGTGGTGGATTTGAGAGGATGAGGCTTTAAGCTCACACAGATATTTTGCCTTCCCTGCATTCTAAGGCCAAGTTGAAAAGATTTTGAATCCCAATCATTTCATAAAATCTATGCCTCTGCTTTCCCTGGCATTACTCATTCAGAATCAACTGTATACTGAACGTCTGCTTAAAATATTCTTAATAGTCTTTTCACTTTTATAAATTAGATAAATTACTCATTTAAAAATATCAACTTTATCTCTACACACTTTATGCTTTGAAAAATAGACTAATTAATTGCCTGGCCACTGCTTTCTCTTCTAAAATTAAATTTCTTGCCTGAGCAACCCCAGTGGACACCTTGATTGTAGTCTTGTGAGAGACCCTGAGCCAGAGGCACAGGTGCCCAGATTCCTGAGCCATAAAACTGTGGGGCAATGTTTATTTTAAGCTGTAAAAATTAATCAGTCAAGACAATGACAAATTTAAAGCATAACCAATATGTATTACACCAGAGGTAGTATACCTGGTAAGACCATGGTCACATACTGCTAATAATTAAAAAATTAAGATTAAACAATTTTTTTCTCACATATTTCCACAGTTCTGTGTATCATTTCTCAGCCCTCTCAGTAGCCAGCTCTGGCATGTAAGAGGTGCTTTTATTGTCACAACTCACTCTAGTCTCATGAAGTCTGAAAGTCACCAAAAGCATTGATTTCTCCCATTTCTTTGATTCTTTTTTCCCTTGTTGATGAAAAGCAATTTTAAAGATTGTTTATTCATTATTTCTTATTATGAAAAGCTGAGAAGACAGAGAGTTGGTTATTATTGGTAAACCATCTGCTAGAACCTACTGTTAGAATATGCACTATCTTTAGGTTCCAGATTTGCTTAGGTAATATATTTCTACTTGCTCTTGAGTCCATTGTTTAATCTTCTATAGGACTTCATGCAAGCATTTTTTAAAATAAAAAACTCTTCTTAAGATGAGTAATGTGGGTAGAAGAATTCATTAATTCATTGACAAATACATTTTGAGTACTATGTGCTTTCTTTTGAATAGTATATGCTTCAGAAGAAATCTATCCTAAAATGGCATCACAGACAGGAGATGCCCTCCAGGCAGCAACAAATTGAGCCATATAACAAACATGCAGTGAATGAGGAGCCAGGAATGAGCCCTAAATGAGAGGAAAGGTCATGGAACAATACTAAGAAGGAATATAGGAAAAGAGGCTGAATTTGGGGAAATAAGGTGACAGACATGCCATGAAATTAATTATTCATAGGTAACCTAGTACTAGATGACAACAAGCATCTTAAAGTCTTGATTTTTCATAAGAAAATGGGAAATTAATTTTCCCAGTTCTTAAAGACCTAATGCCATATCCCAGCAAAGCTAAACAAAGGACTTAACATGAGTATTCCAGCACACCATGGATTTTGTTTTTAGTTATATGCTTTAAAATGATGATTCTCTGTATATGGAAAAAAGGGAGGGAATAGTTCTTTTTTTTTGTTTGTTAAATTTTCCCTCTGAGCTTGATGATTTAAAAAACCCTCTTATGTCTTTAACAAGGTTGTGCATTCAGAGGTGGCATTGCCTAAGCAGTTAGTGGGTGTCTTCAGGAGTACAGTGGCCTGGATGGTTACGACTCTAGCTGAAGCTGTGTGATGATGCCCTCAAGTGAATGCAACACAGTAGCTCTGTGTAAGAAGTTGGGGGTTGGGCATATGTCAACACTATTACCTAGAGGAATGAATTATGAAACCAACACTGTTGCCTAGGAATGGATTAGGGAAGACATTTTGTGGGCCATGGTTTTATTTATGTTTTTTTTTTTTAGTTTTTTTTCATTTTTTAATTGAAATATAGTTGATGTACAATATTGGTTTCAGGTATACAACATAGTGACTCAACAGTTATATACATTACAAAATGCTCACCATGATAAGTGTAATTCTGTCTGTCAACATACAAAGATGTTACAATATTATTGACTATAGTCCCTATGCTGTACTTTCATCCCCTTGACTAATTTATTTTATAATTGAATGTTTGTACCTCTTTATACTCTTCATCTATTTTCTCTATCCCCCAACTCTTCTCCCCATGGCAATCATCAACCTGTTCTCTGTGTTAATGAGTCTATTTCAATTTTTTTTGTTCATTTGTTTTATAGATTCTATACATAAGTGAAATTATATGGTATTTGTTTTCTCTGTTAGATTTCATTTAGCATAATACCCTCTAGGTCTGTCCATGTTGCAAATGGCAAGATTTCATTTTTATGAGTACTATTCTATTGTATATTTGTACCACATCTTCTCTATCTACAATTGGACACTTAGGTTGCTTCCATATCTTGGCTATAGTGAATAATGTTGCAATAAATATAACAGTGTATCTTTTTCAATTAGTGATTTTGTTTTCTTCAGGTAAATAGGTGGAATTTCTGGGTCATATGGTATTTCTATTTTTAGTTTTTCAAGAAACTTCCATGCTTTCTGTAATGGCTGCACCAATTTACATTTTTACCAACAGTACAATGGGGTTCCCTTTTCTCCACATGTGTACCATGGTTTTAAAAATGACAAAGTCTTCTTCAGGAGGATCGAGGTAGGACCACATTCTAAGCTGCCTAATGGATTTGATTTGTCAATTTTTCTAGTAATAATAATAAAACAGTTTATATTTTCATAGGATTATTTGTAGTTTAGAAAGTGCTTTTATTATGTTTGCATAATGCAGACTATGAGACTGGGAATAAAGATAAAGTTCAAGTCTCGACTCCTCTACTTACTGGTTGTGTAACCTTGGCCCAGTTACTTAATTGTTTTGGGCCTCAGTATTCTCACCTGTAAAATGGAGATAATAATCCTCTTTGTTTAGGGTTGTGAGGATTAGCAGAAATGCAAATAAAGCATCAATTCAAGGGATTTGCCCATGGAGGAAGTACATAGAACAGGAAGATAGAATTTGACTGGAGAGAGCCTTTCATCCCTCCTTTCCTTCTTTTTAGTTATTGAAATAATTATCGACATGCTGGTAACTGCACCAGGAACTGGAGATTCCATGGTGACTGAAACAGTCATGGCTGTTACCCTCAAGGATTATAGTTCAGCCGAGTCTATTCTGCCAATACACATTATAGACAATATTTATCATATCTATTAGGTAGCTAAAGTGGAATCCTAGAATGTTAGTTGCTGGATGGACTGTAGAGATCCCCACCAAATTGGTAATTTTAAAGAAAAGGACTGTGCCTACAGGACTAACA